TTCTTCCTTCTGCTTCAGAGAAGGCATTACACACCCACTACAATTAGAATGATGCCCCCAGAATTGCATAGTGAGGCAGCTACACTTCTGCTCCATACTCAGGCCAGCCTGGCACTTTTGTACAGGCATCCCCTAACCTGTCTCCATGCTAGGTGACCCAAGAAGGGATAACAGGAATAAGAGGCCCTTTGAAAACATGGCAGCCTTCTTCTCCTCCAGGCAAGGTCCTTTCATATCTCTATCTCTTTTTTTTTATTAGCTACACATGACATTACAACGATCTTGGCAATTCATACATTTGAATCATTGGGGTATAATTTCTCATTTTTCTGATTATACAGATTGCAGAATCACATACATTGAGTCACCTATATACAGACAGCAATCATAATGTCTATTCTATTCTGCTGCCCTTCCTATCCCCCCTACTCCTCCCCTCCCCTCCCATCATTTCTCTCTATTCAATCTAATGTGACACACTTTTTTTGGAAAGCACTATGGAGATTCCTAGGAAAGCTGGGATTGGAACTACCATTTGACCCAGCTATTCCTCTTCTCGGAAAATACCCAAAAGACCTAAAAAGAGCATACTACAGGGACACAGCCATATCAATGTTTATAGCAGCACAATTCACAATTGCTAGAATGTGGAACCAACCTAGATGTCCTTCAATAGATGAATGGATTAAAAAAATGTGGCATTTATACACAATGGAATATTACTCAACACTAAAAATAACAAGATCATGGCATTTTCAGGGAAATGGATGGCATTAGAGCAGATTATGCTAAGTGAAGTTAGCCAATCCCTAAAAAACAAATGCCGAATGTCTTCTCTGATATAAGGGGGGGTGACTCAAAATGGGGTAGGGAGGAAGAGCATTAGAAGAAGATTACCACTAAATAGGGAAGAAAGGTAGGAGGGAAAAAGAGGGAGAAGAGGAGTTGCACGGAAGATGGAAGGAGACCCTCATCGTTATACAGAATACATGTATGATGTTGTGATGAGAAAAAGAAAAAAAAAGTGTGTCCTTTCATATCTCTTAAGAAGCATGAAGACCTACCCATTCACACCTTCTCAGTTCCAACCCTAACCATTCTAATGGGCATATATACATGTGTAAACATGTGTGTACACCATAGTTATGTATATGAATGAGTTGGTTAGAGTATATGGGATCATGGTCCTATATGTTAGGCCCTAATTGAGGGGATAAGGGGATCTAGGGTACTGAGATCCAACCCTTGCTTTACTTGCCAAACCAGGTGCCTTGATATGGGGCTGCATCAACTGGAAGTGGGTCACAAAGATGCTCCTATGGTCAACTGCAGCTTCAGGGTTACAGACAGCCACAGACATCATTCACACAAAGATTAGTATGTGTAGTTTTACACATTTAAATAAATATTGCTTGATATAGCCAGGTATGGTGGCTCATGTCTATAATCCCAGCAAGTCCAGAAGCTGAGGGAAAATAATAGCAAGTTCTAGGTCACTTTGGAAACTTAGTGAAACTCTGTCTCAAAATAAAAAACAAAGTTTTGGGCATGTAGCTTAGTGGTAGAGCATTCTTGGGTTCAATTTCCAGAACTGCAATAAATAAATGCTGCTTAATGTGAACAAGATAATACAAATTCATAGTGTGTGTGAGAGACCTATCCCCTCCTCATGCCACCCATGTGAGCTGAGCACAAACACATGTGTATGCAGGGACCTTGAGTGTGCCTGCTGGTGGCAGAGCTGTCCCTGTTTTTTTTTTTTTTTCCCCTGCTCTACTTTCCAGGCCACACTTAGCTATCAGCAGGCCCAGAATGCGACAGGGTGTGGTGCTACGGACTGGGTTCCCCATTTTTTTCTTTCCGTGTTGAGGAATTTCTGCCCTGTGTTGCCCTTGCAAAAACCCCACTTGAGGCAGTGAGGGGCTGAGAGGCACCCCATAGGGAGGAGAACAGAGAGGGTAGCCTAGAAAGAGGTTTTCCCCCCACTCCCATAGCCTGTGGTCGGAGCTCTGGCACCAGGAGTCTATGGTTCCATCTTGAGTCACAGGCTGGCAATAGGGCCAGTGGGCAGGCACTCAGTGATGGTTCCCTGATTCACCATGGGCCCTCCTAGCCTAGGGAGGAGTGTCTTCAGAGGGTGCATCTCTCTGGGCCAAGGGCTGTAAGAAGCCTCATACATGGGTTCCGTATATGTGTGAGCCAGCTTCTTATGTGAAATGAGCATGTGAGCTGAGCTCAGGGTCTATATGTGTATTTCTTTGCTTCTCTCTCTCTCTGGTACTGGAAATTGAACCCGGTGCGCTTAGCTACTGAGCCACATTTCCAACCCTTTTTATTTATTTTTATAAAAAAAATTTTTTTTTGGTACCACGGTTTGAACCCAGGGGCACTTAAACATTGAAGCACACCCCCAACACTTTTTATATAATATTTGAGACAGGGTTTTACTAAATTGCTTAGGTCTTCCTAAATTGCTGAGGTCCTCTTGCCTCAGCCTCCGGAGTTACTGGAATTACAGGAATGTGCACCGCACCTGGCCCTTTTTATTTTTTAAATTTTGAGACAGAGTCTCATTAAGTTGCTTAGGGCCTTGCTAAATTGCTGAGCTGGATTGAACTTGCCATCCTCCTGCTTCAGCCTCCTCACTGGGATTACAAGCATGCCACACTGTGCCCAGCTCTTTTTTTGAGGGGGGGCGTTTACTGGGAATAGAACCCAGGGGTGCTCTACCACTGAGCTATGCCCCAATCTTTTTATTTTTATTTGAGACAGAGTCTCCCTAAGTTTCTCAGGCTGGTTTTGAACTTGTGATCCTTCTGCCACAGCCTCCTGAGTTGCTGGTATGAACCATCACACCCAGCAACCCTGTGCATATTTTTCTAAACATCACTTCTTTGGATATGAACTGCCTCTGGGTCTGGGAGTCCTCACTTTTGACAGCCATTCCTCCCGATAGCTATTCCTCAAGGGACAAATCCTGGGGCCCTTATGGACTAAGTCCCTCTGGAAAATGTGGTTTCTTTGGTCTCCCCTGGCAATGCTGCCAAAGATTCATGGATGAGACAGGTTATTTGCTCTCAGTCCTGCTTCGGGCCCAGGCTATCAGAACTCAGTTGCTGCTGCCCCTCCTCCTCTTCCTCTTCTTTTTGTTACAGCACTGTGGATCCAACCCTGGGTCTTGCACATGCTAGGCTAGCACTCTATCACTGAGCTACAACTTCAGGCCAATTTCCTGATTATTAAATGCAGCATAGGAGCTGGGGATGTAGTACAGAGGTAGCACATGCTTACAATGTATAAGCCCCTGGATTCAGCCTCAAGCACAGAAGGAAAAAAAGCAGTTGTGGTGGTACATGCCTGTAATCCCAGGGACTCAGGGGGCTGAGGCAGAGAATCATAAATTCAAGGCCAGCCTCAGCAACTTAGTGAGACCCTCTCTCAAAAAAATAAAAAAGGACTGGGGATATGTCTCAGTGATAAAGCATTCATGGGTTAAAATCCCCAGTACCTACCCCCCAATAAATATATATCTATGGCACAAATATTTCCCCATGATCTCCCCTCAGATAGAGCTGACACATACTTTGGCCAGTTCAATCTCTTTTAATTTTTTTTTTTTTTTACAGTTGTAGATAGACAGCATGCTTTTATTTTATTTGCTTATTTTTGTATGTGGTACTAAGGATCAAACCCAGTGCCTTCCACATGCTAGGCAAGCACTTTGCCTCTGAGCCCCAGCCCTTCAATCTCTCTCTTTTTTTTTTTTATTTATTTTTTTTTTGTGTGTGTGTGTGGTGTTAGGGATGGAACCCAGGGCCTTGTGCATTTGAGGCAAGTACTCTACCAACTGAGCTATATCACCAGCCCTTCAGTCTCTTTAAAGTGATAGACTTGGTTGGGAGATCTGTAGATCTCCAGAATGGGAGAGGAGAGGGTTAAAAACAGTAAAATTCTGAGCTGATCATGGTGGTACACATCTGTAATCCCAGCTGCTTAGGAGGCTGAGGCAGGAGAATCGTGAGTTCAAAGCCAGCTTCAGCAATTTAGCAAGGCCCTGAGCAACTCAGCAAGACCCTGTCTCTAAATAAAATATAAAAAAGGGATGGGGATGTGGCTCAGTGGTTAAGCCCTGCTGGGTTCAATCCACAGTACCCTGCCCTCCCCCCACCCCCCCAAAAAACAAACAATAGAACTCACCTGGCTGGCAAGATGTATGTGTGGCATGTCCAGACAACTGCCCCTCAGCCTCTGGAATCATGTGAATAGTGAACCCATGTACACATGTGTCAAGTTCAGTTCACAAGGCTACGTTCAACCAAGCCACGAGGAATGCCCAGCTAGTATGATTTGGCACACAGGACCTACAGTAAGTGTGGACACAGATGGTCAACACATGCAATAAGTGACATGTTTTTATAGAACTAAAAAGAAGTCCTGTGACCTCTCACTGGAATTCCGAACATATGTTCTGTGTCCCCACCTGGGTCTGGACTGTGAGAAGATCTTTTCTCACTTGGGGTCCACAGCTTCTTCCCTCTAGCCCTCTGGACCTGAGGACCTCCTGGGTCCAGTCATAGGTAGGGCTGGGGCTGGTTCCTTTCCTCTCTAACACGTGTCCTATCACCCCAAGTAGTGGGTTGTCTACACAGCTAATCATGAGACTTCATGGGTTCAGGAGGTCTCTTTGGCAGCTCCTCTGTCCCTGGCCCAGTGGTCCTGCAAGCTGCCTCCACACACACTTAGACCACACTTCCTAGTTCTTACAAGCCCTCAGTCTTCTCTCAGTCCCTATGACACTCCCTCTCCTAACCCACCCTCAAATCTCCTCACACCCTAAGTCCCTTAACCACCTTCACCCCCAGGCTAGGCCGTGGGTGGTGGCTGCCTACTCCGCCCTGCGCGGGGCTCATCGGGCGGGGTCCAGGAGGGCGTGGCCGTGTCTCCCGCCGCGTGCCTTATAAAGGGCGCCACCGGGGCTCCAGGCCAAGTGCTAGGCTCGCCTGCCGCCTGCCGCCCGCCGCCCGCCCGCCCGCAGGATAGCGCAGCCGCCTGCCCCGCCATGGGTCGACAGAAGGAGCTGGTGTCCCGCTGCGGGGAGATGCTTCACATCCGCTACCGGCTGCTTCGCCAGGCGCTGGCGGAGTGCCTGGGGACCCTAATCCTCGTGGTGAGTGGAGAGAGCCAGGCAGCTCTTTTCCTTCCAGCCCTGGCGTGTCCCAATCCCCTGTTCACCAGAGGGGCTGTGTTTCAAGATAGCTCTGAGCCATTCTCCAGCTCTGACCCCCAGGATTCACCCCGAGGAAAAACCCTCTTCCCCACAATTATAACCCCAGCTCTGACAGTTCTGCCTCTTGCCAGAATGACAGCTGTTACTCCCCAGTGACAGTTCTGCTTCTTTACCCTTCCAGTGGTGACCCAGCACAGGCTTGGGGCGGGGGGAACTCACCCTTACAGAGTGGGACCTCCCACTCCTTCTCCTATCTCCTTGGGTTGGTTACCAGAGTCCGAGTCCTGTGAGGCAGTGAAGATAGAGGCAAATGGACCCCTATTAGATTATTTGGGTCCTGTGTCTGGCCCCTAATGAATAATTAAGCCTCAGAAAGTCCAAAAGTTGCAGTGAAGTGAGGACAGTTTACCAAGGGGTGGGGGCAGAGGGGGCAGAGGGCGCAGGCCACATAAACTGCAGACAGCAAAGTAGGAAGAAAGGTCCTGTTGGTTGGAGGCTATGGAAGGAAGCTGGGCCCTAACACAAAAGACATGGGGTTACTAAAAGTTTCTCCCTTCCTGCCAAGTGACTCCCAGATCCTATCAGTCACCTAGGCAGAAGCTGTCAGTCTCTGTGCAGAAGATTGTTGGCCCTGTGAGTTATGCCTGCCATGGGATCTCTGAGGGAGGTACTTCCCCCTGTCTGGGGTTCTCCTCAATCCCAGTTACTCTTCGGTTACACCAGCTTCGCTCAGGTTTTTCCTGGGTGGTTCTCTGTGCACTTCTTGGGTCTGGCAGATGTAACAGTTATGGTTTTCATTTCCTGTCTCAGTTACTTTCTGATTTTCAATCACTCACGTGGTCACACCTGTTTTCTTCTGAGCTCTGTTGCTCTATTGCAGTGGGTGGGTTACTGGGGTTAACTCCACTCCTAGGTAATGCAGACTAGCTCCCTGGGGACTAGGAAGCTTAGCTAGGAGCAAGTAGGACTCTGGGAAGCCTACTCCAAATGGTGGTGGTGGTGATGGTGGTGGAGCAGGCTCCATGGGGAGTGGAGGGCTTAGACTTATATCTAGCTTCATAAGACTAGTAGTGCTATCAGTTTTCCCCACTCTCTCTCACTCCCTGTGCCAAAAAGGGAGTAGTGGGAGGCATTATCACCCTCTTGCCTTGGAACCCCCACTCCCTTTCTGATTCACGAGTCCAGCCACCTGTTTTGGAGCAGCCAGGACAAGGGAGTGTGTTTCCATTTTCATAGAGGGAACTCCTTATCCTTTCCCAAGTCTCAGTTGAAACCCTCCCCCCTGCAAAGTAGCAGTCGTTCCCCATGCTGAGCCCCAGGATCATTTGGCTTATCCCAGACCACAAAAGGAGGGTGTTAGGTTTGTGCAGAAAGCTTTCAGGCTCAGGTAAATGTGAGGCATCAGGTGTCAGTGAAAAGCAGAACCTCAAGCGCTGCCCATAACAGTAGGGGCTGGAACTGGGGGACCCCCCCCAGCAGGTGGATGAGAGCCTCCTATACCTCTGTACGTTGGGGACCTAGAGCTAGTGATAACAGAATTGGGGTTGTCTTTGAAGTGAGGGAAGCCCCTTTATTTGGAGGGTCCTAGTACAGTGGGGGTGGGGGAGTGCTTACCAAGAACTTGGGGGCAGGGAGGTGGGGAAGGAAGAGGAAGATTAGTCCCAAGGTGGTGGAACTGGCTCTGAAAGATCTTCCCTCCAAGACCCTTGGGATGGAGCCAGGTCTGGGCCTCAGGCAGGAAAGAACTGAGGCCAGAGCCTGGCTGGGCACAGTGCCTCAGACCCTCACGTGTCTGCCCCCCCCCACCTCTGCCCAATACATTCATAATCTCTGATCTTTGCTCTCACCTGCCTGCACACCTTTGCCCTGCATCACCACTGCTGACTTCCCACTATCTCTTGGTCTTTCTGAGGGATGATAATCAAAATGCTTAACAGCACAGTGTATAGGCACTGACCCATTAGAAGGAACTGGGCCCTCAGCACAGTTCCAGAAATTGCCTGCTGTGTCAGCATAGCAGAGGAGACCCAGATGGGCTAAAAGATCTTTGGGGGATCAGGGCAACAGCTCATTACAACTGGAACAGAAGTATTTTCACATTTATACAAGAAGAATAAACATATAGCACATTCTGTGCTTGCAGAATATTGGGAGCCTTGCTCTCCTTTGATCCCCCCATCCTTGGAAGAAATTTAGAACTAATCTCCTTACTTTTCTGTCCTGGGTCTCAGTGAAAGGAGCCACTGAGATCCCTGCATTTAGTACCTCCAAATAAGTGGTAAACCTGAATTCCTGAGGGCAGAGAGGTCAGGACAGCTGGAGAGAGAAGGCACTGGGACTAGGTACCTGGGATACTGGGACAGGGACATGTCAAGGAGGTGAGGGTGCTACAAGGGGAACATGGCAAGGGCCAGGGGTTCTGACATCCTAGATTGAGGAAGAGTGAATTCCACCTCACTTTTGGCCCCCTCCTATACACTTTGTACCCCCTGTCACCACCTGAGCTCTTCCCCCAATCTGAGCAACTAGGGGTCACTTCTTGGGCCAGGCCAGAAGTGCTAGGGCAGAAGCTGTGCTACAGTGAAAGCTGTTCTCCTATACCCACCATCTGTTAGGACTCAAGAAAAAATCAAAGAATAAGATTCAACCATCTTCTGGGCACCCAGACATAGACCTACTTTTAGGTCTTTCCCAGGGTCCTGTTAGATTAGAACTGAAACATGAGGGGTGAGAGAGTAGGTCCTCTTTTTCTCAGGGAGTGGAAGGGATTTGAGTTGGATTCCAGGAGGGACTTCCAGTACTCTTGGTGGTGGCAGGGGGAGGTTGCTAGTGCCACTCCTTTCCTCTGGAGTGATTGTTATTAGGCCTTAGAGGGGCCTCACCCTTTCTGCCTTGTTCTGTTTCCTGACACAGATGTTTGGCTGTGGGTCAGTGGCCCAGGTGGTGCTCAGCCGGGGCACCCATGGTGGTTTCCTCACCATCAACTTGGCCTTTGGCTTTGCTGTCACCTTGGGCATCCTCGTCGCTGGACAAGTCTCTGGTAAGGCTTTGACTTCACCCTCAGTCCATGTTCCCACCAGGTGTCCCATTGAGGAGGGGGTTTCCAAGGACAGGCCAGAGCAGTAGCCTCAGCTTTTTCTGGGCTCTTAGGAGAGGAGGGTGAAGAAATTGACACTTAGAACCTTTGACTTTCACCAAGATTATCCTAGCCAGTCTGTTACATAGTCCAACCGCCATTCTATAAAGAAACCCTTCTCTATGCCTCTTTTCATAGGGGCCAGAGAGGAAGAATATGTGGTGGTGGGGGGCTGTTCTCTCCACTGTGGCAGGCTGTAAATAATAGGATCTGTCTCCTCTGCTCAGGGGCCCACCTGAATCCTGCTGTGACCTTTGCCATGTGCTTCCTCGCGCGTGAGCCCTGGATCAAGCTGCCCATCTACACCCTGGCTCAGACGCTGGGAGCCTTCTTGGGTGCTGGGATAGTGTTTGGGCTGTACTATGGTAAGCTTTCCACACCCTGCCTTTTTCCACTGCCATCCTCCCTCAACTTAGGACCTGTTGGCACTGGGCCTTTTAATGACAGACAGCTGGGGCCTGCCCAGGCCTCAGGCTCATGACTCACTCATTCATGCACAGGCCCCAAGGTAGGGGGCAAGAGGGGAAAGAAACGAGTTGGGCAACAACAGTGTCAGGCCCTTTGCCTCACCCCACCCCACCCTATCCCTTGTGCCTCCAGAATGATACAGCTGTAATTTTGCTTAACCAAGACCCCTGGAAGAAAGGGGAGGGCTGGTCCTGAGAGGGGGGCTATGCTCAGGTCTCTGCCCTCACCCACTCTGGGTCTAATCTGTCACCAGATGCAATCTTGAGCTTCGCCAACAATGAGCTTATAGTCTCGGGCCCCAATGGCACAGCTGGCATCTTTGCCACCTACCCTTCTGGACACTTGGACATGGTCAATGGCTTCTTTGACCAGGTATGAGCTTTGGGACATGGGAGGGGAATACAAGGAGGAGGGAAAAGTGGCTCTTCTTGCTTAGGGGCTGGCTATGGATCAGAACTCCCTAACTACAGCAGGGCTTCTCAATATGTGGGGAACCCTGCATCAGAACATGGTGGCAGTTTCTTTTATAGCTTGCGACTTCCCCAGTGAGTTCTTAGCTTCACAAATATACCAGCGCCACTGCTTTAGAGGTCTGGGGATGGGGGAGGAAAGGATTCTAGCTCCAGGCAACATGGAGGACAGAAGGGGAGGACCAGAGGATGGGAGTGGGCTTCCCCTCACCCTGTTCTCCCCATTCTCCAGTTCATAGGCACAGCCTCCCTCATCGTGTGTGTGCTGGCCATTGTTGACCCCTACAACAACCCTGTCCCCCGAGGCCTGGAGGCCTTCACCGTGGGCCTTGTGGTCCTGGTCATTGGCACCTCTATGGGCTTCAACTCTGGCTATGCGGTCAACCCTGCTCGGGACTTTGGCCCCCGCCTTTTCACTGCCATTGCTGGCTGGGGCTCCGAAGTCTTCACGTGAGTACAGCCCTAACCATCTTACCCCAGGCTGCCTCTCCTCTGCCCTGCCCCACCTACCCTAACTATGTATATCTGTCTCCCAGGACTGGCCGGCACTGGTGGTGGGTGCCCATCGTCTCTCCACTCCTGGGCTCCATTGCAGGAGTCTTCGTATACCAGCTCATGATTGGCTGCCATCTGGAGCAGCCTCCACCTTCCACCGAGCAGGAGAATGTGAAGCTGGCCCATGTGAAGCACAAGGAGCAAGTCTGAATGGGCAGCAGCCATCCCTCACTGCCTTTTCCCTTGAGCATCCACTGACTGTGCAGGGGTTACTCCCTAGAAGCCCCCTCATGATTCCCTTCCCAGGCTAAGAACCTCTGATAACCCTACCCTGCTGGACAGCCCCCTCCAGGATTTTCACTGGACCCTGCCCAATAGAACCTTAGGTCACCACCCTCAAGCTGTGGTGAGACAGGGTGAAGGGCCAGTACATTCTTTTGTCTCCCAAAGGGAGAGAATGGGCAGCAGTGTGTGTGTGTGTGTGTGTGTGTGTGTGTGTGTGAGTGCGCGCGCGTGCGCATACACAATTTCACAGATATTCAGGGCAAGGGACCAAGCTTGTCCAAACTTTCCCAAGAGGATCCTAGTGGTGCTGAGAGCCCAGAGGAAGGGAGAAGACAATGAAGGCGATGTGTCCACCTTTGAGGACAACGCCAGGGTGTGCGTGTTTCATGGGCTCCACATGAAGGAGGATCCACATGTGTGTTTTCTGAGTATGTGTGTGTATCTGCCCTTTTTTCTTAGTGGGGCTTCTCTAGGTTTGGGGGAGGTGGGATTTGGAGGTGGAGACCACTGCTCAGGTCTGGATCTCCGGTATCCCTGAGTAGGAACTGTGTAACATGTTTCTGTCATAACATAGGCATGGCAGGGGACGTCCAGGTCACAAGTTTCATGTTTGCTTATGTTTTATTTTTTAAATATATATAGTAGATGTTACTGTCTTAGGGCTGGAGGTTGGGAGACTCCACTTAAAGGTCTTCACTCCTTTAATCCTTCACTTGACTCCTTTGCTTTTTATAAAAAAAAATCAACAACAATAAAATGTATGTCTAAAACTGCCAATTGTGGAAATAGCTTTGTTCTGCTGTTTTTCTGAGGCTGTTTAAGAAGTTTCCAGTGGTATGTCTGGTCCCAAATTCCCAGTGTGCCTAGCTGGGTATCTAATCTGGTCTGGGTACCCTAGGGGTCATATTCTAGTCCTGCCTAAGGGGAGAGGGGTCAGTCACACCGAGAGGTCAGACTGACTCTTTGCCAAGATTCCCAGCTTCCATCCTTCATGGCACATTCAGCATAGTGAATGACATCTACTCAGTCCCTGCACCCACACATCACCATAGGAAGGCAGGCTGAGCCCCGTGGAGGGAAGAACCATCTCCCAGGCAGAGCTGCCCAAAGGGAGAACTGAGGGAGTGAGTTCCCCACTGTTGGATGAGACCAATAGACGGGGAATCTGTATTGTCCTGCTACCTGTAACTGTTTAAGCTCTTTCACTTCTACCCAGACCTCAGCTATGAACCCCTTAAGCAGGCTCTCTGCCTCTAGGCCTATGCTTTCAGTCTCTGAAGCCCTCAGAGATCTTTTGGAAACCTTTGCTGAAACTGGACTCTTTCCATGGTTCTCCTTGTCTATTTGGAGGTAGTTTAAAACCCTTTATTCAGGGCTTTCAGAATGTGGCCCCTGGCCCTATTCATCCCATCACCATCCACCCTATCCCAGACTGCTTTACCAGCTCTGTGCTTTCCTACTTTGGGCCTTCCCTCTGAAGTTCCAGAGGGAACTTGTTGTCTTTGTTGGTTAAAATCTTCCTGATTACATCATGGACAACCAGAGAAATGAGAAGTTATACTCCATTTATATATGATGTGTCAAAATGCATTCTACTGTCATGTATAACTAATTAGAACAAATAAAAACTTAAAAATGTAAAATTAAAAAAAAAAACAAAGAAAAAAAATCTTCCTGACTTATTTTAATAAAAATCCTCCAAGAAGTAAGATACCCCAGCTCTTTCTTATTCTTCCACCATCTTCTACAGTAACTTGCCTAAGCCCAGAAACCATGACTGTGTTTGTTCCATTCTCTCCCAACTTCATTTTTGAAGGGTTTGAAGCCCCTCTATGATCAGTCAGGCTGGGGTTACACCGAGGCCTGCCAGCACCTTGACTGCCCAGGGACATAAGGGGCTTTGCACACCTGTGCCCAGGAATCTCTTCTCATTTCCGCCTTCCTTATTGGGCCCTACTTAAGTTTCACCATGAATACAAGGGAAGGCTTCCCTCCCCAAATCAACATGCAAAGTTAACCCCATGAAAGCCAAAGGATCCCTGGGTCATACAGGAGAACTGTGCTCTTAATAGAGGCTAAGCCAGCTAAAGCTTCTTGCCTCTTCACAGATGAGGAGACCATGGCCCAGGAGGAGTGGATGGCAAATGCAGGGTCACACAGCTAGGACTCCGACTGGGAGGTAGGGGTGGGAGGAGGCAATTCCACCTTGGGTCTCTAACTGTTCCTTGTCCCCAGCTCCCAAGAGGCGTGTCTGGAATGTTGGAGGGACCTGAGCCAGAGGGAGTGTCCCTTTCCTAGGCCCTGAGGGGAGAAAGGGTAAACCTTAGGAGTGGAATGTGGCTGCCCAGTTTCATTCCAGCCACACCAGTCCCACCTTTGGTGCCCCCACCCTGCTTTCTTCCTCTGTGTGTCCCATGTCATCTGTCATCCCTTTATTTCAAATTCTGCTGTTGACCCTGACCAGTCTGGCGGGAGGCCTTCTGGTGCCATGATTAATGGGAAGTTGAACCTGGATTCCAGACCCAGTTTGGCCTCTCTGTAGCTGTGTGACCTGGGAGTGCTCATATTTTTTCCCTGAAACTCAGTTTCCTTATCTGTGACTTGGGGGTTAACAAGGAGGAAGTAATGAACAAAAATTCATGAAAAGGACTTAACACAGCGACCAATGGATGGTAAATACACAAAAATGTCACCTCAGGCTTTTTCCTACAGAAGCAGAGATGGAGTGGGGAAGCAGAAGTGGGGGAATGTGTGGAGGAGGGATGCTAAAGGCTGTTTTTTAAAGATCATTGAATTCAACATCCTGTTCCGCCTCAGATTCCTTCCACAGTTCTGAATTTCCTGAGAGAGGGGAGGGAGGAAAAGTGGGGTGATACCTTGCTTTGCTTTAATTCTAGAAGGCTCTTGGGAAGAAGAAGAGGGAATTAGAGGTGCCACACATGGTTATACAGGGCAAGAGGGTATGTTGAATGGAGGGTCAGATCTCATGAGAAAGGGCAAAGCCTGGCCAGGATCAAGAGCAATGAGTGGGGACTGGAGCCATGCAACTATCATGTAACCTCTCCAGGGACAGGAGGGAAGCGCCCTGCTTCTCTACCTGGCCTCTAAGTGATTCCTTCCTTTGACAGTTCTGGCTGTTAGTTCTTGAAAGAAAACATCACCTCCTACAGGAATGTGGGAATGTATCAGTTCCATTCAATGTAATCCGTTTTCTATGGTCGTCATAGAGAATTACCCCTTGGAAGCATTGCCACATCCCATGGCTCACCAAAGTCTCCATCACTGTCTTTTCTGTACCAAGCTCTCTCCACAGTCCACTTGGGAAGCATCTGAGCTTTCTTAAAGTTCTGACTTGCTCCAATTGAAATCAGCCTCCCTGAAACTTGAGCTTGATTGGTCTTTCCTTGCACATCTGCCTCTGTGACTGTCCCTGTGCACATATGCAATGTCCATTTATCAGTGATTCTGAGTGGGCCTGCTTTTCAATATGTTGAGTTACATTCTCACGGGTCTGAGCTTCTGGCTGAGTGTCTCTGGCTCTGTCTGCCACTGCCTGACTCTCTGTGTACCTCTAAGTGAATATCCTGTGCCCTTGGAGTAAGTCTTTCTGTGTAATCAGTGCACATTTCAACTTCTACCTATGATTGACTTTCCTGCCAGCCCAGTCCCGCTCACTCGTCTTACCCCAGGGCATTTCTCCTCTTTAATTCCTGGTAATAATGAGCTCTTTCCTAGCTAACTCTTTCTCCTCGATTTTGTTTTTCTGAAAATCTGGGCGCGGCACCCCTTGGCTTGTAGAAACATGGGTGGGGTAGAGTTGGGTGGGGTGGGAAGGGGAGAAAAGGGACTATTCCTCCCAGTACAGAGACCCCAGAGGCCACAGACAGCTCAGATTCCCCAAGGATGGGTCTATGGAGGTACTGTCCTAAGTAGAGCCTGCACTTCCTTGTGGGGAGGTAGGAACTGGTGCTCCCTGGGGTGGGGCCCCTGAGATGAGGGCCTGGGGAATGCTGGTAGTGTGAAGGAAGGAGACTTAGAGACAGAGAGCTCTTAGAGAGACTGAAAGGACTTGCCAATAGAATACCTGAGTCCTAAGGGGCAGAAAGGAGTGGGTATATCTGCCAAATAGCTGGGAATGGCCTTTTTAGGAATTGAGAGAGAGTCTCCATGCCTGGGGCTTTGGCTTTTGGTGACGTGTTTATTTGAGGTAAGAGAGGGGGTGGCAGCAGGAGCAAAGAGGCTATGTGACCTGGGCACCTTGGTATGGCAGGTGCCAAGAAGGACCACCTCCTTTTTGTGTGTATAAAGAAGAACCTGAAGCCTAGGGTCTCACTAAGGGTCACAGAACAGTGCAATGCAGAAGAGCCCAGACTAGAGTCCAGTCTTTTCACCCTTATCACTGCCACCCCACAGCACTTGGTGACATCTCAGGGAACAGGGCTCTGAATCCAGAATGCCAGTGTCCAAACCATGAGGCCTGGGACAGGTGAGAGTCTCCATTCGCCCAGATTCAGTCTCTTCCCTACTCTGTCCAGCACATCTCCATGGGTCACCTCACCTGGGCTTTTTTGCCTCTAGCTTCCACCTGGCTTTGTTGAGTAGCTAGAAAATCAGAGAGCCAGGAGGGTGGGGGAAGAAAGATCTGGATATTCATGCCTTTTCCAGAGCTCCAGCTTCTACTACATCCCAGAAGGCAATGGCTGCCTGTTCTTGTAACAGTGATCCACTTTATGCTTTGAATATAACCCTTGCTGCTCTGCCACTTATTTTTAAAATAGACTTGTTTCTTTCTCTTCCTTTCTCCCTGCTCCTTCCTAATCTCTCCCTCTCCCTAATCTCAGGGGAAAGAGGATTACCTTTCTTCCCCATCCTAGGCAGAGTTATCTGTCCCTGAGTACACACCCATCATAGGAATGAAGTAATCCAGACTTTGGGGATGGTATTAGAGGATCTCAGAAATCACTATCTCCCAGATTAACAAGTGAGTTACAACTCCAAGAGAGAACACGTGGAATGTAGCCTTTGACTCACCTCTTTAAAAGCCCCCTGTTCCTGCTAATAGGCAGAATTGCAGCTTTCGGGAAAGGAGTCCCTTGTGTTTCTTCTTTGCCAGCAAAGCAATAAATCTTCTTTTTCCTTTTTCTCAACTGTGTCCTCGATATTGGATTGGCATCGAGGACAAGGACGGAGCTTTCAGCAACATTCTTAGTGCTCAGCGAGGCAATCTGAGGGTGCAGCCTGTTTCTGCTGGACCCTTAGCTTCACCTCTCTGTCTTTGGTTTCTTCATCTGTAAAATAGTACCTACCTGATTCGATTGCATAAGGTGAGGATTAAATGAATTAACGTGTATCAGCACAGTGCCAGGTGAAGGAGTAGGTACTAGAGAAGAAGAGGTGAAGATGACAAAGATGGTGAGGGTGATAGCAATGCCTTCTTGTAAACTCCCTGTGTACTGTGAAGAAGAGAGAGCTTGCAGCCAGCCTTGGAAGTGGGACACCTGACACCCCCAGGCCGACTCCTTCCACTCCAGGAGTTTGGAACTTCCATGGGACATAAGGCACCTGGGAGTCTAGCCTAAATTCCTCAAAGTAAGTGAGGTCAGCTTTCTTTGGAAAGGTTGGGGTATGGAAAGTTGGAAGCTGGAGGCCTTTCTCACTCTGAGCCTCCTTCAGAAAACTCAGAATGCTGAGAAAGGAACAGCTGGGTATCCCATCATCTTGTGGGGCTCAGGGGAGCTGATGGGGGTTGAGGGTAGTAACAGTGATAAATCATGGGT